TATGCAGGGTGCCAAACCTTGTTGCACACATCTTGGCTCCCACAAACTAGATCATACTAGTTCTCTTCTACCCAATCCCACTGAGTATCGCTCAATTGTTGGAGGCCTTCAATATCTCACGTGGACTCGCCCGGACCTTGCTTTTGCTGTCAATCAACTCTCCCAGTTCATGCATGCTCGGCGTGAACAACATTTTCAAGCTGCCAAACGAGTTCTTCAATTTCTAAAAGGTTCCGTTTCCCAGGGATTATGGTTTACAAAGGGTCATGTTGATCTCTCAGCATACTCCGATGCTGATTAGGCTGGAAGCACGTTTGATAGGCGATCAACCAGTGGCTATTGTGTCTTTCTTAGTCCCAACCTCATCAGCTGAAGTGCCAAGAAACAAAGTACTGTCGCCCTTTCTTCTACAGAAGCCGAATATAGGTCTCTGGCTCATACGACTGCAGAACTCACTTGGGTTTGTAAAATCCTTCGTGACCTTCACTGTCCTCTTCCTAAACTGCCTACACTGTTGTGTGATAACATTTCAGCCATCTCTTTAGCCTCTAATCCTGTTTTTCATACTCGCACGAAGCATGTTGAGATTGATTATCATTATATTCGCGAATTGGTTCTAGCTAATCTTCTCAAAGTCCAGTTTGTTTGCAGTGCCGATCAATTGGCTGATCTTCATACAAAATCTTTGTCTAAAAATCAGTTTCGATACTTGTGTTCCAAGCTTCACATTGGAATCAACTCTGATTCCCCCTCTCGCTTGAGGGGGTGTATTAAGGAAGATAACAAGTCTTCCATTTTTGTTGATGTTAAATATTTTAGTAAAAGCTAAATGTGGTTAGTTTGTTATTAACTATAGTTAGTTAGAATGGTTACAAGTTTAGTTTAAGGTAGTCAAGGGTATATTTGTAAAGAGCCAAAGGCTATATATATTCTCTTCTGTGTAATTGTAAGATTCATTGAGTGAAATACAATCTTGTAGAAGAAGATTCATCATTCTTTACAAACCCCACATCATCAACATCGCTTGAATAAAACATTCACCATCCAGCCTGCGGCCTTATAAAATGGTGGTTCAAAAATATTATGATGCATGAAGAAACAAAGGTCGGAGGGAAGAATAATGAGGTTATGATGCAAGAAGAAACCCCTTGAAGAAGAGCTAATTATGGCAAACGGAGTTCTGTGCAAATTCATAACCTCATCGACAGTGGGACTTAAAATATATATATATATATATATGTCTTTATCAGTTCATATCACAAGTGGGCATTTGGTCTAGTGGTATGATTCTCGCTTAGGGTGCGAGAGGTCCCGAGTTCAATTCTCGGAATGCCCCTATTTTTTGCAAGATTTTATTGTCCATGGGAGATGATGCGAGCACTCCCTTCTCAATATCCTTCTCTCCGTATTTTAACAATTACCAGTATTTTCTTATGATTTATGATTTCATTAGATAATAACATAAATATGTTGAAAATTGCCGCCATTGTTTTCTTCCATTCTTCATGTCCACTGCATGAGAAAATAATAAGAATTCATACACGCCATCCAAACTAATGTAAAATTCTCACTTCTCTCTTTACATCTACCGTCTGATCCATGTCAAACAGCGACACTGGTCGGGAACAAACTCAAAACCGTAATACAGGATGCATATCTAAACATGAAACACTCAACTCGTCACCGTTGCAGACATCTCGTTCTAACGAGACTCGACAACCTAATGAACCTTCCAGGGTTCCCCACTCTCAGATGTCCTCCTATGTCCTTAATAAAAACACGCATAAAGGAGCTCGTTGAAGTGGCTGAGCACTCGTGCGTGGGCAGCCGATGGATTTCATTCTTGTGTGAATGAGTCCTGTGATTCCGGGCTTCTTGATGCTTTTGTACACTCAAAAGAATCCATTCGCATGTGAGACCCTAGCGTTTCTTGCATTGTGTTCGATACCTGAATCTGGTTTCTCAATTGGATCACTGTAGTCCTTTCCTTTTGCATCGATGTTAAGATAATCAGGTCAGAACTTTTTTTACACCCAACCCATGCTGAGGGATCTTGCCGATGGTGATGAATGGTGATCTGTCTCCCCTCAGAGGGCTAACTAGCTGTGCGGGTGAAAAGCTTGGTGTGGTGAAAGCTGTTTTGTATGGAGTGCTTGAGATGGGCACCGAGTATGGAGTAGGATTGCTCTTGTGTGAAATCAGACTCACGTTCGAGATTGATGGGAACTGATCAGAATGCCGCATCAAGTCATCTACATAAAGCAGGTCATCAATGCGTGCCACAATGTTAAATGCCAGGCTCTCCAAAATTCTTGAATAGCTCTCCAAGATGGATTTCCCGACGTCCTAGCAGATCAAATTTGACCAATAAGTACAAAGAAAAAAACAATTAGAAGGCATCAATGAGAACAAATTTTTGAGTGGTAAAGTCGGAACCTTATTGTACTGAATCTTGCTCATATCAAGGCTGTCTGTGGAAGACCAGGGAACCGTTGCTTCAAACACATTAACAAACTTTCTGCTCTTTCTGGAAGCAACTCCTTTTTCTCTGCATCAATCATCAGCTCCTTGACCATTTCCCATGATGACTTCGAACCAAATCTGTTCGCAACACTTGTAGGTTTTGGGTTTGTTTTTTTACGCCACAGATAGATTGAGGCCTCCACTCTATTCGCAATCTCTATGGCTTGATGTTCAGAAGACAAATCAAGGCAATCAAGCAGGCATTCTGCGGAAAAATGATCTGACGTAATGTATCGATAAATAACATCCCCTAAGCTTGCTCTTCCATTCTGAAACCAAGTTAAAACAAAAGATTAACAAACATGTCTTTGCAATTACACATCACCGGAATCTTGAGGATGTTTCAAACCTTTGGAAGAGATTCCAGATATGATTCAGGGACTTCCATATCTGCTAAAGTAATACTATTGATTGCCATTGCAGCTTTTAATATTTGACTCGTGCAATCGCGTTTGTGCTGCAATTGCTTTCTTGAATTTTTATGGAGTCCACCAGAAGGAACTCGGGGCACAGGTAACCACCATTTTTCCTCTTGGCGCTGTAACGCTTTTCGGAAAGAGGTTGACCCATCCGCATCTGGGGCTAGAATCCCTTGATCAACATACCAGAACTCTGTATTGTCAAAGCCATCTAAGATTTCCTGCAAGGATTGGCTAAATTCAGAATGGAATTCTCCAAAATGGATCTGAGTGGCAAAATGAAGAAGTGTTTAGAAGCTTACAAGAAGCATGTTATCCAATTTACGAAGGGCAGGGAGATTAACATAAAGATCTGAGCGGGGTCTGCAAGTCATGACCTGAATTGAAGTATATACGAGTCAGAACAATTTCAAGGAACTGATCACTTAGGACCTGAAATTGAAGTATAAAAAAAACATAGCCCTACAATTTAGAGTTGCTTATCACAATATTATCACATAAGTTTATATGAACATAAAGGCTCCAAGCCTGCATTTACATTACAAATGCACCGTTTATAATGCAGCAAATTAAACATGACGTACACTTTATTAGTCATTGCGGGAACTTATACCTATAAGTTCTCACTTCAACTCACAATTGAAAGTTTTAACCATTCTTTAGGTCTGTTGCCATTCTCAGTACAATATATAATTGCGCAGAGGATTTCTGTATTGAAAGCCGAAAGATATTGTGCTCTTCTAAAAATCCACATCGGTATCAGATTGTACCTCCAATTTGCTTCCATCAGGAAAAGTCTGCCAAGAAGGCATCAACTCAACAATGTGATCACTCACACAAAGAAGCCATTCCATCTCTCTTCGCCACATTGATTTCTTCACTTGCGGTAGAGGTTCTAGTCTCCAAAGTTGCCCGAATAGGGTAGCTACAAGAGGGAACCACAGAATAAGAAGAATTAGCATCGGAATCTACAACAAGCTTTTCGTTAAACAACCCCGCAAATCAACCAATCCATAGTTTTAAGACATTGGGAAAGTAAATCAAGAGCACGTACCACAAAGATTAGTAATGGCATTTGATATCGCCAATGCTGTGCAAACTCCATTTCCACAACCTGACATGTCTTCTCCAAGCAGCAATTTTGAAAACCTTTCCTTCATCAACTCAGTCTCTACAATCCCATAAACCAAAACCAAACATTTTTATATAAAAAACCATGAAATTCTTGAGTGTCGGGGCTATTTGGAATTGCTTCTGTAAGGGTTAAAAGCACTTTATAACAACCTTAAAAGTGCTTCAAGGTGCTAAAAGCACTTTAAACCCTAGGTAGGTGCTTCTAATAAATGTATCCCCATCATAAGGGTTTATAAGCAAAAGTGCTTCCTACAAAAGCAGTTCCAAACCAGCTATGAATTGGAGAGGAATAATACCTGATATTGTCGACCCTTGTTTCTCTAGTTTCCTATCATCCAAATGGGTTTTCTCCGCCGCTTCATCACCATTCTCACTGGTGCACTCCGGCGCCTGGCCTTTCTGAACAGGCCAACCCACCGACGGCGGCCAAGATGACTCCTCCGAGCTGCTGTGGCTCTGCTCCTCCTCGTGCCCCGTCGTCTCCGACGTCAGAAAATCCGAACTTGAACTGCTCTCACGACCCTTCTCCTCAATCAAATCCTCAAAGCTCCCAACTTTATCCAAAGCTTCACCAAAAAATTTGTCACTTTTCTCCCCAATAACTTCATATTTCCCCACCAAACCCTCCATTGAAGCTCCTCCTTCGTCAACAAAACCCGGCGAATCACAGAAAGCAGAGTTGTTCACCACCATACCATCGTACCGAAGCCTTCCCGGGCAGCAGGAGTTGGAGATTCGAGCCCTGCAATGCAAGTTCCGGAGATACTTCGACGCCCAGAAACCGAAAAGAGAGAATGGGTTGTGGGAGTTGAGGCTTCTGAAGCTCAGCAATGGCAGACAGAGCTTGAGGTGGTGATCTTGTAGGTGGGTTCTTCCTTCTCTTTCCTCTTGGTGAGTGAAAGCTCTGTCCATGGGATCTCAACCATGTCTGATAGTGAAAGGCAGGTGGTGAAATATGAAGAGAAAATGGTGGGGTTTTCTAGAGAAAAGAGGTTTTTGGAGCTGGTAATGATTAATGGAGCTTGATCAAACACATGAACAGCGAAAGAGAGAGGCGCATTTGAACTTTGAAGAGCGTATTTGGTTCTAGTTTATACTAGGCGAATGCTAGCTTTTATCTTCTACTACTGTTTCCGTCCATGTTTTTTGGTTCACTTTTTAAAGATTATTTGTGTGATAAAAATTAGAATAAAGGTTAATAACCATCAAACTTTTTGGAATGATTTCAAATTAGTTTCAATTTTTTTAAAAAATTTAAATAACTATTCAATGTTTTTGAAATTAGATATTTGTTAGATCATCGGAGTTAAGTGACGACCTTATCAATATTAAGTTAGTCTCTACTAATGTTTTGGACAATACTAAATTAAAGTTGGTCTTTACTAATTGTCGCCTTTAGAGCTCTAATTTCCTAAATTGACTTTTTTTTTTATCCAAGTTAAGTTGTAAATTTGCCCAGCTAAATTGAGTTGATTTGGAATTTCAAAACTCTATAGATGACTTGAGAGTTGAGAGTAAGAACCTGACCGCTTTAATAATTGTCTAGACCATCACTTAATGCTAATGAACTTAACAAATGTCCAATTTTCAAAACATTAGGTAGTTATTTGAAATGTTTTAAAATGTTATCACAAATTTGGAATCACCCCTAAAGATTTGGTAGTTATTCAGATCTAACTCTAAAAATAACTAAAATAATCCCTTTAGTCATCTAGTGTTTATTCATATAAATGGATAAACTATAGTTCTTACTTAAATACTATATTTGAAAATGTTAGTTGAATAGTTAAACAATTCCTAATTTGATTGATTTTTTTTTTCTTCTGCAAAATTAAAAGGTGAGCAAAAAAAATTAGAATGTTTTGATCATCAAACAACATTGCAAAATTAAATAATAGCAAATTGATGGCATCTTTTTTCTATTATGTGAAAGATACACTACTTTAAACTAATCTAAAAAATTTAGACTCGCATGCATAGCGATAGCCGATCCACTTTAATCAATGTGTTCATCTTAAATCTTGAATATTTTTTATCATACCCAAACCGCTAGTAGCTCTCTCTCTCTCGTTAGCATTTGACAAGGATTAAAAATGATAAATGTGTATTAAAAATAATAATGCTAACTTGGGTTTGAAAAATACAATAAACAATGGTTATGGGAATCGTGCAATCGACGGATCTCTCAATGATGTCTACCAATTTGGATTTGGATCCTCTCTGAGGTAACTGGTCGCGATCCTCTTGACCAATGTTAGTAGACCGTTGGATTTTGATCCAACAACTACAATTATTATAACGTTTAGAAAACCCCATGTTTATAGCCATTGGATAAAAATCTAACGGTCCACTAATACTAGTCAGAGGATCCCGACCAGATGCCTTGGAGAGGATCCAAATCCTACCAATTTATCCTTGATTAGTTTGTAACTTGGAGCTCATTGGTTGTGGTTGCAATGACCACATTACCCTTCTACTTGAAATTACCAATCATGTCGTGTGAAGTGTGGGAATTTTGTTCTATAAATTTTGGGATCCAGTGCTCATAGGATTGTGTCACACATTTAACTAGGTCCATAGAGTAAAACAGAAGCATTGTACAGAGTTTATATGTTGATTTCGTTCATATGCTTATCATAGGATTGAAAATCATGCATACATTCAATGGTTAAATCACAAATGAAAAATAACAAAAATTTAAATGTATTTTCGTTGTTTAGTGTTTGGTATCGCCTGAAATTTAAAAGCAAGTACTAAAATGTTGAAACCTAGCAAACTATTGTAAAAATATTTTTTTTTAAAACCCTTTTTAGGAAATTCATTTTTAAAATACCAAGGATATAAACCCAAAAAAAAAGGTTTGCATTGAGATGTACCCCGGGGCATTCCAGTAAAACCGGTCTGCTTTTAGAAGCAGAGTTTCCAAGTTCATAAAAAACCAATAAATAATTCAAAGTATAGGCCAAAACACTTTGGAAGTATAAAACAAAGTTATGCTGGAAGAATATATCTCAATCTTCTAAAAGGAGTTTCAAATTGTTCATATAAACAGAGCTATAATTTTGACCAAAAAAAAAAAGTGCTATAATTAAACTACTGTTGCAGTTAATATTATAATAGGAATGTGAGTGTAAGCTAAGCAAGAATCCTACATTATTTAGAAGATTTTTTTCCTTGTATAATTTGTATTACTTATGGAAATTGTTATTAGTACTCCAAAAATCTCATTCTACACTCCGTATATTTTTTTTTCTAAATGTAGAAAGTTTGGAGTGTAGAATGAGAATTTTGAAGTGCCAATAACAATTCCCTTATTTAAAAGATAAGTAAAATTTGTTATAATTAGTATAAATAAGGCAGAGGTCAAAGAGAACTTAATCAAGATACAGTTGAGCCAGTTCTCTCCATCTGTCTGCCCTCTTTCTCCCCTCTAAGATATTATTTAGGGAAATTATATTCACACACCTTAAATTACTTCTCCCGTATCCTTCTAATTTTTTATTATTTTTCTATCAAGTGTTAGTTGTTAGATCTCACATCACCCAGGGAAGTGGATCATCTATGCCTTATATGTATATGCCAACCTCCATATAGCACGAGACCTTTTGGAAACTCACTGGCTTCAGGTTCCATCGGAATTCCGAAGTTAAGCAAGTTTGGGTGAGAGCAATCTCAGGATGGGTGACCCACTGGGAAGTTCTCGTGTGAGTTCCCAGAAACAAAATCTTGAGGGCGTGATCGGGGCCCAAAGCAGATAATATTGTGCTACGGCGGAGTCGAGCCGGAAATGTGGTGGAGCCCGGGTCAGGATGTGATATTAGTGGTGTGTAGAAAATATTAAAAATTAAAAAGTGTGGGAGAAAAAATTTGGGATGTTTGAATGTAATCTCTCTATTATTTACTACAACAACTAGCAAATGTTTTTTTTTTCTTTTTTTTTTTTAAGTTATTATATCAGATTAGTTAAACAAGTTAACGAAATTGGAATATACAAATCTAAGATTCTATTGTTTGGTTCATATTACAAGGCTATGAAGTGTCAAGTTTACCTATAATGGCCAAGATTGATTAATTTGAATTTGAAATACCGGTTGGAGAAGACTACTAGATTGACTACATTAAAATTTTCATAAGATTGGAAAGAGGCAAATAATCTTGAGTATGGCCTAAGATGCAGAGCAGCAGAGGTTGAAGAATGTCAAATTTCACATCAGAAACTTGACTATTACACCCTTATCTTATCTAATGAATGTTTTCACTGTCATTTAGTATTACGGTCTAGTAATATTCCTCTTCACTTGTAAGTGAGAAGTCTTAGGTTCGATTCTCGCCAAAGATGAGTTTGAACCACATTATTGCTAACTCATTGTGAAGCTAAGCACACCCCCTTTCCTTAATGTAGATAATATCGTTTGTTAAAATAAAAATAAAAATTGTTTTCACTACTATTTGCATCGAAACATTTGATTCTTAACTTCACACACACGTTGGTATGTGTATATGATTAAATTAAAATCAGTATAGTAGTAAGTCTCTTAATCATCTCTAGGAAATCTTATCGACAAAAAAAAATTTGTTTATGGTTTAATGATTTGGGGCATTTCATGATTAAGTTTTGTTTATGCATGGGACAATAGACAGCATTTTCATGATATTGACCAAAGTAGTTAGTGGGAAAGAAATAAAATTAAGATCCATAATAGGGTACTAATTATATATGATCAATATACAAAAATTCTGAAGTCTCTACTATCTACAGATGCCCTAAATTAAGAGAAACTTTTCAGGGTACCGGAAATATGGCTCGTACACTAAGTGTCATATTACAAGTGATTTAAATATTTTTTTTTTCAAGTACGCAATTACTTGTATTATAAATTTAATGTATGAGTCCGTGTTCCTGGCACAAATAAAAATTTCTCTTGGCACACAAAAAAATTTCTCCTAAACTAATCTCAATTTTGTTTTGTTTGGTGACTTTCCGTGCAAGGCATTTTTATGTAATTCCAATTTGTGTGTGATGAATGATATAATGATGGTGGTTGTTCCAAGTTCGAAATGATGAAAAACGTATGTGAAGAAAGAAAGGCTCCTCCCAACCGTTGTTTGGATGTTGACTGCTACCTTGAATAAACGTAGAGGGAAAGGCACTCTTCAATTCCAAGCTGCTTCTCAATCTCTAGAAATTTAAAACAAAAGAAAAAAGAAGAAAGCAATGGAGCCGATGACAGCATGATGCACCACTTTTGTGCTTTAAATTATTGATTCCTCGTTAAAGTTTGTGTTTCCATTTATTGCCATGGCTCCATCCTCCATTTCAATTTTCATATGCAAAATTTTTTAAGAGAATAACTTATGTGGCACGGATACACCGTCGTGATGATGGTGTTCTGCGCCAATGAAATAAAAATATGTATAAGTTTTTGTTCATATGTCCATGTTTCATTGACACAGCACATCACATGACATTATACTCATGTCATGTAAGTTATTCTCGTCCTAAAGAGTCAAAAGCTGGCCCTTTGGCAATTTTCTTTCGGAAATGATTTAGATACGCTACACAATTGATGGACCACACTGCTAACTATTATTGTTGTTTACAAATGTGGAGCTATGATCATTTGTTTAAAGGTGTTAAAGAAGCATAGTGGACCCAAATTGAGATGTGTTACAATGTAACACAATTGCCTAACACGTGTCTAGATGATTTCAGATTGTTGATTGTTATGAAATTTCCATTTGATCAATGATCGTATAGCTCTTACACACGTGAGCTACTAACCTTAGCAAAATTCTTTTATGTTTTACTTATCAAATAACAAATTTCACTAAAAGTCCTTTCACAATTCAACTATGACAGCAAAACATCAACTTCAGAAAGGCAACAAAACTGTTGATCTTAAGTGAAGCTCATAAGACCAATATCCACCAAAACCCTAAAACGACTCATTGACTCGAAGTGACACAATAGCAATTTTTGGGGTTTCCAGGAGGAACTGCTCTAATGGCTCCATCCATGGGTTACCTTGTTGAAATCAGAATACGCCCACATACATGCAAGGCTTGTAGCCCAGCACCCGAAGGTAATAGCATTTTGGAGCCCAATTCTCTTTCCGGAGCAAATTGTTAGCAGTTGTAGTAGTATTTTGATTTGGGTAACTTCCGAATGCACCCTATGATCTAATCAATACATCTAGCATTTGAAAATTTTATTTTCTTATAAGTGAGAGGTTTCAACTTTGTTTGTTCTAAGTACGAGAACGGTACAATTATAGCTATCCCATTGTGTAGCTCACTACCCACCCTAATTATCGTTGTATATAAAAAAAAATCATTTAAAACTTCTTAGAGCGTGACTTTAACGTAACACTCAATATTACATGTATTTCAACTGTTAAATTCGGTTCTAAAACTATTAAATCATCTATTTCAATCATAACTATTTATTTTTTGTGCTACTCGGTGCTACATACCATCTAATAGAATACCAATAGCCTTATAGCAGATAAGCTCATCTTGTCTCCTAGATCGTTTTTTAATATCAAAGAAATAATAATTAGACAAACGTGAACATAATCCTTCAAAGAGCATCAAGTTTCAATGAAGTAATGCTGTTGGGGGTTTGGGGAATCCTATTTAGTAGGACAGTGGAAATTAGGGCTGGGCATTTGAAAAAAAAAAAAAAAAAACCCGATTGAACCACCCGAAATGCACCGACCTCAATCGGTTTGGTAATTGGTTCTCGAAATTCTTAGGTTGTGGTTAATCGAACCGACCTGCATATATTTTTAGTTTTTTAATCACAATTAATACGCGTAGTAATATAAATGGTTAATTATTTACAAGTTACTATGTTTTCACTACATGAAAACAAAACTTGATTAGTTTAAGACACCCTTTCTAGAAGAACACAGGCACCATTTGGAGAACACAACAGCTGTTGCTTTGGTGCTATCCTTGAGCTGCTTCATTTGTGCTTTTCTTTGAGCAATTACTCATATTGGTGCTATGTTTTGTAGCTTTTGGAAGAGAAATTTATTATGCACTTTCGTCTTCACAGAAACCGAGAACCAATCCAAACCAACTTGCCACATTCGATTAACCGACCAGATCGATTTTAGACCCAGCTTGGTCGGTTTCAATTTGCAATTTTGGCCAAACCAACCCGCGCCCACCCCTAGTGGAAATAGCTCTAAAGCTGAAGGTGTGAAATATGAATACGTTGAGGAGGACCTGCCCAACAAAAGTGCTTAGGTCATCTCCAACCAAGCCAACCATAGGGCCATAGGCCAAAGGATAGCCCTTTTTAACACAAAACTCATCTCCAATAGAGGTCTGGGCCAAAAACTCTTAGGACCTGCCAGGCCAAAATCCAGCGATATGGCCAACGGCCTAGCCTTCTTTTGCTAGCCAGCCAGCCAGCCTTTCAATTGGGATCAATTGGAATTTTTTTCTTTTTTTTAAGACGAAATTAAAAAATTTTAAAAATTCTAATTTTTTTTTCCCTATAAATACCTAAGACCTTTCTACACCATTTCTCACATCATTTTCACCCTTCCATACTATCTTACCTCATTTTATTTCAATTATTCACATTCTATCCACCTCAAACACTCTTTTCATACACACCCCTCTCTTACCTCTTCCAATAATCTTTCCTTTAATTTTTTTCAATAATTTTCAAATGGCTACATCTTCAAGTGGCACTCAAAATATGTCTGGATGCTTATTCATTTAGTGACAAGTGGCACTCAAAATATGTTCAAAAACCTTATTTTAATATAGTAGTTTAATTCAATTAACCAAAAAAATTAAATAACAAACTTAAAATAATAAATTATTGAGGGAGCTAAAATATAGCCTCTTTCAGTTGAATATGATATATAAATAGATCATGACACTGTTCATTAGAAAATAATTTCTTACAGGGCTATAATTTGAACATGAGCTAAACATAACCCCTTAGGTTGGAGATAATCTTAGCTTCTGTACCCTGAATCCATCCCAATTTATCAGAAGAACCCTATGCCCCTGCACAATGACAGACCAATAGCTGAGTCCCACGTCATTCTTGAGTACATTGATGAGAGTTGTAAGGATGGCTTTCCCATTTTGCCTAGAGACAGTTATGAAAATGACCATGCACGCTTTTAGGAAAGTAAAAATGTTTCACTTTTATCTTTGTGCATTAAGTATATTAGAAACGTTATCTAGTTAGATGGTGAATCTGAATCATTGATACTTAAGATTATTTTTAATAAAGTTAATTATAGTATGAATGTATAGTTTAGATTAATAGTCTATCAATATAAGCATGTGCATGGTGATTTGCATTAAGTATATTAGCTAGAAGTTCTTTGTGACTAGCAGTGTAAAATGTTTATATTACTAAAACTTAAAAATTGAATCTTGTTTGAAATGTGTACTTGTGCTGTTTGGATTAACCCTAACAATACATGTTTGAACCCACATAATATTATGGTAGCATAAAATGTTTATGCTATAAAATATGAATTGTTGATCAAGTTGGTTCTGGATTATTGTATCTTGAATTTGTTTGTTTTTATTTATGTTCAGTGCAAGCCGGGAATAATCAAAGCTTTCTTTGAGAAGGAGGACCGTGAGAAGGTGGTGGACGAAGCGCGTGAGCTTCTAAAACTACTTGAAAATGAGCTCAAGGACAACAAGTTCTTTGGGGGAGAGACTATTGGATTCGTAGGATTCGTAGACATTGCTGCTAACTTGATAGGCCACTGGCTTAAACCAGCTCAAGAAGCTTTGGAGTTGGATCTGCTGAGCAAAGAGAAATGTCCGAAGCTCTGGGATTGGTGTGATGAGTTTGTCAATCACAATGTCGTTGAGGAAACTCTGCCTCCTACAGATAACCTAATTGGTCTCATCCTTAGTCGCGCAAGTTCGACATAGATGCTTTACAAGCATTTCATAGCTCGTGAATAAAATTACAAGAAAAATTCTAGATTGTTGTATCTTGAATTTGTTTATTATTCAATTCAGAGCAACCGTCGTATTATATCGTTGAATTGTGAATTTCAACTGCCAAAGATTTAAAAACTTTGCATGTGCTTATCATAGACTGAAGTGGCTCCCTTCTACCAATAAATTTTGAGAATTGATTTTGAAATGAAACTTCAACTCGGACCTTGGACAACCTCGTTATAGCGAAGATAGAGTGGATAGAATTCGACAATTGACACAGGTTGGCATGACTTGTTTCTTGCAAAGAATTGCAATAAATCTATAAATGCGCGCAATGACAATGAGACAAAGATGTTCATTGAACCGTGTCTTGTGGTCAATTGGGATGGCTATGATTGAATAACTAAATTAATACACAAAACCAAATGCATTCATCTTCAAAATAATAACATCAGAATCAAAGAAATGCCAACGTCGAAAATAATGACAGATTATTACAAAAACCAGATCCAAGTTTGTAATTAATTATCGATAATACAATTTTAATGGTGTTGCATGCTTGGGTCCTTGACGATGGTCACAGGGATTGGAGCATTCGTGAGCACATAGTCGCTCACACTCCCCAGTAGGATCCTGTTTAATTTCCACAAAACAAGTAGATTAAACATATAATCCCAAATTAATTAAGAAACTCTTATTATAAAACTAAAAGAGAAAATTGGAGCATGGTCCAAAATAAAAAACCATTTGTATTCATCGCTAAACTTATCGTAGTGTGAAGTAGTAGTCATTTCGGATAATTCTGTTAGAACTTGTTTTTTATTTGTGCTATTTTGAATAGAAGCTCTTGTGGTGTTACCTAAAAGAACTAGTACTCTACGTTGTGACAAAGTCGAAAAACCAATCCTCACATATTTTTAGTTCAGTTACCAAAGTTCAATTCCATATAAAATTCAGATCAATGCTCCAATTTTCAATCCCATATAAAATTCAAGAAAACTGCATAGATACCTTTTGATGGTGCCAAGGCCTCTGCTCCCCATGACCAAAGTGTCCAGCTTCAGATCTTCAACTGCTTGAAGCAGCTTCTCCCTTGCATCTCCCCAATACAATTTTGTCACAACATTCACCTGCAAATTAAATCCCATCAAATATCAAGCACAAAAAAATCACTAATCACAACCCAGATCAAAATTATGCCATTAATCAAAGCAAACCTCTTTCTGCCTGGAAGCAGTGTCGAGTGTGTCAAGAACTTCCATATCAGTTTGGACACCGTACTTCGTCATAATCTCAGGCTCCCTAAACTCTGTCAATGGAATCAGAGCTGCAAAAAGCAAAAAATCCCAGATCAGATACATAACCAATATTATCAAAGCTTCAAACTTTTACCTATAAACACACAAAACATAAAATGATTAGGTCAGAAATTTTTATACGCGTCGACGTTGAATCAATATAATCTCAGTACGCTTTGTAGGCGAGTTTAATATAAACTCATTTTCAAATGGCATATTTAGAATAGACGTTTGTTCCATAGACTAATATACTCTGATCGACGAAAATGATAAGATGACAGCTAACTGACGTAGCTCACATCTACGAAATTATAAGTGTACTTACGAGAACCGGATTGGGCCCAGAGCTGGGTGCGGGACTCGTCGAGGGAGTTGGGGTTGATGTGGATGATATAAAGGGTGTCACCTTTGTCAGCCAAGTTGGCAATCGCCCATTCTAAAGCGTTCTTGCTGCTCTTTGAGAAGTCCATCGCCACTCCAATCTTCCTATCCTTTCCCATTCTCTCTGATCTCTCTGATCTCTCTCGATCTCGATCTTCTGCAACTCTAGGGTTCTATATCAGACAAGAAAACACCATCGTTGCGCGTGAACGTTTAAAAAAGACGAGTTTCGAAGCTTGTAGAGTAAGCAGAATATAAAGAAAAGATGGAGCGTTGTAGGCCCGTAGCTAAATGCTAATGGGTTGTGCGTTTTACTGTTGGCTGGTATTTGTTTTTCGTTTCATCCTGACCGCCCACGCTGGTCCAGGGGATCAGTGGTGGGTTCCACTTTTGTTTAATATGGGATTAAAGGCCGTTGGATCGTCACATGGGGCTTCATGATGTGGTCGCGTGATAGAAGCACCAGGACACGATGAACGTGAACTCATTAGGTTTCGGTTTGGCATGCCCGCCGGGGGTAGCAATGATTCAGTGTTACGGATATTGGATATATGATACTTTAATGGGTCGGTTGCTTAAGCTTTATAACCCTAATTATTCAAAGAAAGGGAGTGATTTTTGTGCTCTTGTTTCTACCACTGGATTTTATTTTTATTTTTTTAATTAATAGATTGAATAAATTAAAAATGAATCAACGGATAGAAAATAAAACATGCAGAAAGTCGAAATGGAGTACGAAAATCATAATGTTTGTTTGATCCATGGTTCTAGAAAGAAGGTAAATGTTTATTCTCACAAGTTTGATGGTCTCTCTTTGTAACTTGTACAAAAGAAGAAACAAGGTTCAGTAAAGAAATATGCATCCATGATGAAGAAATTTATTATGATACTTAATGTATCAAACTATGTTCCCCGCATCTTGAAAAATCTCTCTCTAATTCAAGAGATAACTTCTTCCTATTCTCATGAATGAGTCAAGAAAACTTAGTCCACTTGTCCCTCAACAACAGAAGATGAATCATATAACAGGTGGCGTTGGCTAAAAAAAATCGTGTTAAGCCGATCGTGCCAAGGTACAGGCCGGGTCCAGCTTTGGCCCTTTAGATTCGGGCCGGCCCTCTTCGGCCCCCAACCGCGGACCGAATGGTTGCGAAGTTGCCTAATATCAAAACCCCAAGGGAAAGGAAATAAAATAAAATGGATGCGGATGAGTTGCCTAAATTATTGTTTTGCTTTCCAGAATATGGAAGAAGGAAGTTGATTTGCACTTTCCTTTGTCCTTGTCGTGTAACTCATACAGTCATATGACTTTTTGTTTTTTGAACAAAACAGTCATATGACTTATGATCGTATCTCCTCCTTAATTTTGTAGCCAATATCTTCGCTGCAGTTTCAATTGAATTACAAGCAAAGGAAAAAAAACAATAAATTATGTGGTGCAAATGCGACAGAGCAGCTTTTACGATACATAGATAGGGGTTGAATAATGTGAAAGGACTTTAACTTGACCGTTAAATAGTTTTGTATTCAGATATATTGAAGTTTTTTACGATAAAACTCAACACGTATATAGTTATATACATAGTTAAATTGAAATCGTATTAGTGATTAATTGTGAACTACTAACCCATCTCTCTGAAATCCTAACATAAAAACATTGAAGAGATTTTATGCAGAAAATTCAGCAAGACAGGTCAGTCAGGGACACCTCGCTCTGTAAGTAACCAAATCCAGCATTACTGAGTTTGTGTACACATTGTTTTGTTTTGGGTTACTGGAAGATGGGAAACACACACCCATTTAATAATTTGACCCCAAAATATAATAATAATAATAAGTTCTAGTAAGTTTTGGGCTAGTATTTTGTATTTTCAGGCCTCTATGGTGTGGTATATGGACTTGTGTTTTTTTACCAAGAATCTAAAAGTTAGAAAAACATATCCTATACTCCGATGGAACCATAAAAAATCTCCTCATACCAAATGAAATGATAATTGATACTAAGATAGCAGGTTGCATGATCATAAATTCAAGTCTGACTATAATGGTACGTAACAGTTAGTGGTATGGGGTTTACACAAACCGTGGAAATTATCTATTAGATCCATATCTACAAGATCTAACCGTTGATTTTTTGAACTACTAACTAAATGGAATGCATCATGGAAGAAAAATTGCATACATTGCATAAATTCATAAAACTTCTTGAGTTTAATAATAATGAGCCCTTATAAGTGGTTCGAAAAGCATAATAGCATAACAAGAGTCATGCTATTTTGGTATTTTAAATGAATAACGTGATGTCATGTATTTTAACATTTATACATGACGTTGAGTTATTGATCCCAAATGCCATGGTAACATTCCAAGATGTGTGTACAAGTCTCACGCTATAAAAAAAATAAATATATATTTTTTTGAATCTCCCTAAACAAATGAGTTGTGCTATCATCCACACCAAGCACAGTCGCATATCTTTGTGACAAACATCGTACATTTTACTAGCATTTCGCGTCACACTAATTACATAGATTGTTCAAGTTCAGATAATCTGCTAGCATAACTCAGGCGCACGATCACAACCAATGATCTTGGCCATGGCAAAGTCCATCCTAGTTCGTGTAGTTTCCTCTTTCCTGTGTGTAAATTAAATTTACATTCTAACTAATTGTCATTCTTAACCCATCTTATGTAATCTCTGTTGCGAGTTACATATTTATATGTTAAGTAAAGTGTAAATAGTAGTATGTTGTCTCACATTGACAACAGTGTATATGTAATATCAATTGTAATTCATATATATACTCCACTTTAGAGATTAATGAATATACAAGAAATTCTCAAATATTGTCATATATATTTTTGGTATTTTACCATGTTTAATTCAACTTGGTATCAGAGTCAGGGAGCGGGCCCGTACTATACTGCCACGTAATGGGTGGGTTCCCTTAGCCTCGCGCGATGATGGTGGGTCTCTTGGCCTCGCTTGTAGGGTGAGTCCTTTGGCTTCACGTGATTGTCGAGATGTGTGGATCTCCCACGTGTGACCCACTAATTGGGTCCCACATGAGGGGGTGTGTTGAAATGTCTCACATTGACCATATCAATGAGAAAATACGAGTTTAAATATCCTAACCCCACTCCAACTAACACTAAGGCCTTTTGTGATAAAACATCACATCTGACGGATTGTGCAGGTAGTAATTACCAAGTTTGTGACAGTATCGTTGTTGTAGGTGACAATTCGCTCTTGGTGACCTGTGTGCTTTAATTTTGTGACCACTTTTCTTAGTATCATGCAAAAATAAA